CTACCTTGAGAGACGACAATCTTCCCGGAAGCATCTGGAAGGAGAAAGGGCGGTGCCTCTGAAGGGCCCTGGTCGAAGCACTGGGTCACGGTCACTATGCCAACCCAATGGGAGTAGGTCACACATGCGATGGCTGCTGTCCAGTAAGGCACTTTGCTGCGCCAAATAGAAGTCTTGCCAAGTGTGACAGCCTTGTATGAGACGCTTACCAGACCGTCTATAAACATTTCTGGTTGGGTACTCGGAATGATTCTGGCTGTGATCGTCGTCCTTACTGCGACGTTAAATAATTCCTGCAGAGATGGGGGCGCTCTTAATAATCCTCCTGATCAGCCAGATCATCCGGGTGTAAGGCTCGTTTCCGTACGAGGGTAAATAAGAGTGGGCTTGCTGGCTTACTTGGCTCTGACTTGGGCACAGGGGTGGGCCGATACACACACAAAGACACTGCTCGCTCAAAGATGCTGTTCGGTATGTTGGATTGAGGGGAAGGGTAGGTTCCAGTTGGTGCTCAACTGTATACACAACCATACCCATCAATCATACATCTGCTACATTGACTTTTGGTACCTTTGATTAGTTGGTTGACGGACTGCTAACCTCACAGACAGATTAGTGTAGGACTGCTGTATGCTACCATAGCCAGTTCTAACTAATGCTGCTGTAAGTGAACCAATCAGGGTGCATCTAGACTATGTAGACAATCTGTGTGAATGTTGTAGACATGCCACTTGATTCGGTATAGTAGGGAACTCACCGGACACAACTATTTATAGAAAATTACGTGCCGGTCAGATACATCTTGCGGTAGGATTCCATTAGGGGCTCTAGCGTAGACACTATCTGTCTAACTAATGAGTGGGTCATACCCTGTTGATGATAGAGTTGATGGTAGGAGAATAACACGTGCACAGGCACTAAGGGTACCGCACGTGTTCCAGGCCTTGGAGCCGGGAGAAGAAAGATGGATACGTAGAGCCCGTGCTCTAGCAGCAGGACTACAGGAAGCAAACAAAGCAGCAAGAGAGCAGGCAACAGCAGCCAGAGCAGCTGCGATGGCTAACGGCGCAAGCTCTGCTGCGTCATCGTCAGCGTCCTCGTCAGGGACTAATGGGAGCCAGTTGGGAATGCCAACGAGTTCCACAAGTTCCTCGGGCACTTCCGGTTCCACAGGTTCTAGACAGTCTTCTAGTCAAATGGCGGGCGCGCAGTTCAGCCCGTTGACCTCGCATGAGATGGAGCTCAGAGAGATCCAGCCGGTCGAGAGGCTCCGACGTAAGTTAGAGCAGGACCTGAAAGATGCTATCGATAGAGAAAATGCGATGAAAACTAGAGCAGCCAGGCTTGAAACTTTAGAGGCTGACAAGGCTGAATTAGAGTGCTTGGATGAGTCAGCATTGACTGACCCGGTGAAAGTATTGAAGAAGAATATGATGTCATTGCACGCACACGTGGACAGCAAATTAGACTTCATGCAGAGCACTCTAGACCAGTTCTTGGATGCTTTGACAAGGCCAGGATTCCGGCCACCAGCACAATCGCTGTTGCCGTTATCGGCGATGTCAGACCCCTTTCCAGTTCAAGCTGGTACACAACCAAGTGGTACGTCTGCAACAGTCTCACAGACTGTTGCGTCTTCTTCTTCGGGTCCAGGGTGATTGCTACATCACCGCAACAACCTGTTCCTCCACAGGGACAGCAGCAAGGGCATTGGTACCCTAATACATGATGAAACCGGCTCTTCCCTTCTCAGGGGAAAGAAAGGACGAAGAACTCAACACTTGGTTGAGAACGGTCCCGGTTTGGGTGAAGGCCAAAAGAACCTTGCTAGAGGACGAAGTGGTAACTGCGACATCTTACCTAGAGGGTAAGGCAGCCAAATGGTTAGATGGTGTAGTTATAAAGGCCGGGTATGGGAGACGCATGGCGGACTGGGCTAAGTCTCTAACGTTAGACCAGTTTATGGAAATGGTAGAAGCTGGATGGCATAACCCACAGGCGGCACAAAGGGCCTCTGATGCCATTAACAAACTAGACCAACGAAAGTTCAAGTCGGTTAGAGAGCTTACGATTACTGTTGAGAGCCTGATCCTCGTCCCAGGCATTAACTACAGCGACCAGTTCCTCTTGACTACGTTTGTCAGATGTCTCCCAGAGAACATCAGGAACTTACTAGCCAGTGAGGCACGCACCGAGTACCACTCGTTTGAGACATTGTGTAGGAAAGCCTTAGACTTGGAGGCCACGCTAGGCAATGCTCAACCCACCTCAGGGAATGACTCAAAGAAGAAGAAGAGTCCTCAGGAATGGAAGAAGAAGAGGGCTAAGTTGATGATGGTTGAGTCAAATGGGACTCAAACTGAGATCGACGAACTCTCTGACCTGATGGACCATACAGAGTATGACGGCGAGGAGGTAGCTGAGGGTAGCACCCTCGCCGCAGCAGTCAAGACTAAGGCGGCTGGCCGAGGGAAGGGCCAACCTAGGGGTCAAGGGAAGACCGCCTCCAATCAGACCAAACAGGCTGAGTGGGTTAAGGCAAGTCTTGATCAAGACGTGTGGCGTGACCGCCGAACGCGTGGCTTGTATCAACTGCGGGGAATACGGACACTCGCAGTACAAGTGCCAGAACGCTAAGGTTACGCAAAAGGTTGCTCCAAAGATGGGGGTAACCTATTCCCAGGCTTCTAGCTCGGGAAACGCGTGAGGCCAGTGGAAGTATTAGCTCAAGATGAAGTGGGATTGATACCCTCCCCACTTCATGACAAGGCCAAGGCTAATGACCCCTTAGTCACCCCGCAGACACAACTAGACCAAACTATGCTCTGGACGTTAGATGTGTCTGAAGCCTTAGAAGACTTGGAGAGTGAGTGGTCAAACAAGGATCCTCGCGAGTCTTGGGTGGCGCTGAGAACAGAAGGCCGCAAACGTGGTGCCTTCATAGACATAGGCTCCACGCGGAATTACATAAGTCGTGACTGTTTGGAGAGGATGTACCTGCAGGACCGGGTACGGCACCTTAGTAGACCAGTAGCATCTATTTTGGCCAACAAAGAGCGCATGATTGTAATGGACTACATCAAGGACGTAGTCTGTACCTTCTCCTATGGAGGAGGAGAGCTTAACCATAAGATCTCGTTCTTGGTTAGCGACGACTTACCATTTGACATGTTGTTAGGCATGTACTACCTCAAAGTTGTTGAGCCCCAGTTTGACTGGGATAAGAAGGTGCTCAAACATAAGTTGCCCAATGGCCGAACTGTCAGATTGACTAAGTTCAAGGCCAGCAGTATTGTAGATACCTATGGCTGCTTGTGTGCATCAGCGTTCTACAATTACTACAAGCAAAACCAAGAGGAGGGTATGTACCTTGTTTATGTCTCTGAGAAAGGGGAGGCCGGTAAAACACCCCCAGAGATAGAACGCGTCGTTGCTAAGTTCCCTGATCTGTTCGAGGAGCCCACAAGAGTTGTTGAAAGGGAAGTCGTCCACACTATAGAAATCATTCCAGGGAGTAAGACCCCAAAGGGAAGGATCTATAGGATTACCCCCGCCGAGTTTGATGAACTTCGGCGACAGCTTAACGAGCTGACAGAGAAGGGTTGGATTCGGCCTAGTACTTCCCCTTACGGATCACCCGTTCTATTCGTACCGAAGAAGGGGGGTACTTTGAGGATGTGCATTGACTATAGAGGCCTCAATGCCATCACTGTGAAGAACGCATAGCCTCTACCTCGCATAGACGACCTATTGGATAGGGTGCAGGGATGCAAGTACTATAGTAAGATAGACTTGAAATCCGGATATCACCAGATCGCAATAAGACCTGAGGACCAACACAAGACAACTTTTCAGACGCGTTATGGTCTGTATGAGTTTGTAGTGATGCCCTTTGGTCTTTGTAATGCGCCGGGTACGTTCCAGCACGCTATGAATCGGATCTTCCATGACCATTTAGATAAGTTTGTCGTGGTCTACTTAGACGATATTCTGATCTTTAGTAAATCTGCCGAGGAGCATGCACAACATGTTGAGAAAGTACTCTCACTCCTGCGACAACACAAGTATAAGGTCAACTTAGAGAAGTGCGAATTTGGCCGCACTAAGATACTATACTTGGGTCATGAAGTATCCGCGGAGGGAATTAGGCCGGAAGATGCGAAGGTGGCTAGTATTTGAGACTGGCCACGACCTCAGACAGTCACTGAGGTCAGGTCATTCTTAGGAATGTGCGGCTACTAAAGAAATTTCATTAAGAACTATTCTACAGTTGCCTCTCCTTTGACTGATCTAACTCGACTTGACACACCGTGGGACTGGAGTGATGAGTGTGAGGGTGCTTTCAAGAGATTGAAGCATGCACTCATGAATCATGAAGTTCTCATGGTTCCCGATCCGCAGAAGCCATTCATAGTGACCACTGACGCAAGCCAATACGGCATTGGTGCAGTGCTGGCTCAGCAGGATGGGAAAAAGTTGAGACCGATTGAGTACATGAGTAAGAAGATGCCATCGAAGAAGTTGGCTAAGTCCACCTACGAAAGGGAACTCTATGCTCTCTACATCCGCAGAAGCCATTCATAGTGACCACTGACGCAAGCCAATACGGCGTTGGTGCAGTGCTGGCTCAGCAGGATGGGAAAAAGTTGAGACCGATTGAGTACACGAGTAAGAAGATGCCATCGAAGAAGTTGGCTAAGTCCACCTACGAAAGGGAACTCTATGCTCTCTACAAGGCACTTGTCCATTGGAGACACTTCCTTTTGGGAAGGTTCTTCTATCTGAGGACTGATCATCAGACCCTCAAATGGATCAAGACTCAACCGACTCTTTCTGATGCACTCAAGCGATGGATTGAGGTCATAGACCAATATGACTTCAAGCTTGAGTACAACAAGGTTGTAGACGCGCTATCCCGTAGAGCAGACAACCTAGGTGCGCTAGTTTCTGACTTCGGCGTATCTAATGAAGTAACTCAATCATTGGTGGGAGCCTATCAGGAAGACACTGTCACGATGAACATCATTCGCAAACTTCAGGCAAAAGACAAGGCCACAGAAAGTGAGTTTGTGATGGTGGACGGGCTATTCTTGATAAGGCCGGAATAAAGAGATTGGTAGTTCCATCTAGTGAACAGTTGCGTAGTTTATTTTTAGGCGAATGTCATGACGTAACTGGGCACTTTGGCTACAAGAAGACGAGTGCTAACTTAGTACAGCGATTTTGGTGGCCCGGAATGTTAGATGACGCAAAGAAGTATGTTGAGACSTGTCAGGTCTGTCAGCGGGACAAGCCGCGAACTCAAGCACCGTTTGGGTTGTTGAAGCCTTTACCTATTCCTGATGGTCCAGGATTGAGTGTTTCCATGGATTTCATGGACACCCTAGTGACCAGCAAGAGTGGTAAGAGGCACATTTTCGTCATCATTGACCGATTCACCAAGTACGCTAGACTAGTACCAATGCCAGAGACAGCCAGGAGAGAATACGTCATCAAGTTGTTCAAGGACAACTGGGTAAGGGACTTTGGTTTACCAAAGACCATCATTAGTGACCGAGACGTCCGATTCACAAGTGAGCTGTGGAAGAAGACTGCGGAACAGATGGGCAGTCAACTTCAGATGACTCCAGGGAATCATCCCGAAGCCAACGGACAGGCCGAACAAATGATCAGAGTTGTACAACACTTGCTGAGGCATTACATCAAGGCCAGTCAGGATGACTGGGATGAGCAGTTACCTCTCATCGCCAGCCTGTACAACAATGCTATACATAGCAGTACCGGCATTAGTCCTAACCAGCTGCACTTAGGATGGAAGCCTAGATCAGCACTAGACTTCCTCCTACCTGAAAACCGACCCGCTGCAACTCCAGGCACACTTGAATACGGTGTGCAATATGAGAAATTGCTGCAAGAGGCTGTTGAACATATGAAGAAGGCTCAGCAAGCCATGATTGCTTCTGAGAATCAACATCGCAGACAGTCCACATTTCAGGTAGGGGAACGTGTTTGGGTCAAGGCTAGTGAGTTAGGACAGGAGTTCGGAATATCTCACAAACTAATGCCTCAGTACTTTGGTCCCTGGGAAGTCTTGGATGTAGTGGGAGATGAGTCGGATGGTCCCACTTATGTCATTCGTGTCCCTGGACACCTACGCACTCACCCAGTCTTTCATGCCTTGAAGCTGGCACCTTTGGATGAGACTGATCAATTCCCTTCCAGGAGATCGATGCTGCCCCCAACCATGGATGGACAAGTCGACATCGATGACATTGTGGATCACCGGGACATGCCTGTTGCAAAGTCGTTGGGTCGAGGAAGACCTCCTAAACCCAAGAGAGAATATCATGTCAGATTCAGGCACCACAAAGATCCCAACGAAGATCGGTGGTTTACCAAGGAGGAACTGATTGAGACAGCTCCTCAGGTGGTGGTAGAATATGAAAGGAAGCTGAAAGGGAAGGCACCTGCGAAGTAAGCATCTCAGCGGACATTTGAAGCTAAGGGGGATGGAATGTGAGGAATGAGCCCTCAAGAAGGGGCCTTCCCATGATGTACATGTTCTGGGCTAAGGCCCCAGCAAGCCTCGTGCCCGCCCTAAGTGAAGGCGGGCCAGCAAATCAACAAGAGCCCTTTGCCAACATTTCACGAAGTGGGGTCCATACAGTTGCAGCACGCCAGTTGGTTGGAGTGCACCGAGTCTCGGATTTCAGCAAATGCTGAAAGCCCAGGGCCTCTGAGTTAGTTAGGCCCTGGGCACTCGAACGTGAGGCCGACAATGCATGYTGGGTAKAGAGGCCGAAAATGCCAAAGGGAAATCGGCCCACTATCTGAATCTGKCCGCAGGCCTTGATGAAAGAGGCACAACTGCATTGCCCCGGGGCCCAACTGTATCGGGTTGGCTTCAGCCTCTGGGTCCCGGTCACAGGCTGAAGGGAGGCCGCCCACACGCTGCACTGGCATATAGGCAAGYAGGGCGAGTRGGCAGGGATCTTGGCCATTGTGGGCAATGCCGGCACGCTGCGCTAATGCGAGCTGCTGCTGCTGCTGYGCTGCGCTAAGAGAGGTGCAAGGCAGGCCAGCGCTAGGCGGTAGGGCGCTGCCTGCGCACCAGGGCACTGGCGGCCATAGCCGGGCCGCATGAGGGTGCAGTGAGGGTGAAGGRCGAAGGTGGTCTTCGRAGGTGAAGGGCGCTGTGTGGGTACAAGGGAGAGTGTGGGTGAAGAGGACACGTACCTGGTGGAGGTGGAGGTCGGCATTGGTGTTGACATCATCACTCGCTGGTAGTCAAGTTGTCTGGTTGCTTTCATTGCTGTAGTTGTAGGCTAGTCTGTAGAGTAGATAGGGCGCCTGGCGCCATTCACAAGAGAGAGCTACATTTGGGTTATGCTGTTGGTGTTGCCCTGTTGGGCATGGACATTGACTCACGATTCTTCTGTATCATTCTCAATTGGATGGTTACTCGGTTCCGTTGTGCTATCTGCTTTGGCTTTGACTACTTGGACTTCAGTGTGATATTGCATTCTGGATTTCTGTGCTTCGTCCATATTCATGTTCCTTGCACATGCATGCAAACAGATGGCGATTACACTGGCGCTTCGGCGCCCACACAAAGCTCAGAGACAATGTAGTCAAGGACACAGTTCAGATTCAAACTTGTCATGAACGGCTATGGGGCACGTGCGCCTGACAAAGATGCACCCCGATCAACTGTATCCTCAGCAACTCGTTCACACACACACAACTCTGGATCTCCCTGGATGTCCCGCACACATACACATACATGACACACACACACAGACTAACCCTCTACTTCTAACCTACGACAGCTATGGCTGCCTTCTTCTACCTCAACTAACAACACAAGCGGCTATGGCCGCGTCTTCCTCCTCTTAGCCCACTTCCTCTTTGGGCACCTGCAGACTTTCGTACACAAGACGCTCCGACAACGCTTCCACACGGCTCACAGGTAGAATGAATGAATGACTTGACGCTGCATCTTTATTTATACTTCGATTGTCGTTGGTCTGCACTCGGACTTTGGGCCCGGGTTATGCACAGTCCCACATGGTACTTGCTGACTTGACAAAGTGTGACCTGGTACTGGGTACCGTTGACTAGGACAGGTAGGACTTAGGACTGCTCTTTGCTGACTGTGCTAGGACTGCCCTCTGCTGACTCAGATGCGGACCGACTCTAAGACTCACGAAAGGCACTTCCGGAAGTTCCGGAAGGTTGTAGACTCGACCCTTTGATACTGTAGCAGCTACGACCTTGACCCTTCGACACTGTAGCAGCTATGACCTAGACCACTGCTATTGACTCCTAAACAACAGACCTACAGCTCAAGACCTAGTGACCAGACTATATACAACAGCTACACATACGATTTTCATAACACAGGTCGCGGGCTCAAACACACACGGGTCCACGAATACTGTACACGGGTGAGGGGAGGGGTCTAGGGATCGAGCCCTGGGTGCTGCATCTGCTACCGTAAAGGTGAAAACTGTTTCATATCACTCCTCTGAAGGAGAGCAGGTTAACCGAGCACCCATTTTTCAGGCCCATTTATAAGAAAACCAGACAGTCATTTTAACAACACTTCACACCAATCTATAGAGTGCACTCCTTACGACCCCATCACAGAAAAAAGCCCTGAAAAAAGAAATTAAAAACATATAAAACAGCAAGCCAAAGGTGCATTTCCATGAAATTTGGCCCAAAAAAAATTCGACCAATTTCAGAAATTTCAGAAATCTTAATAGCGCAAATTCTAAAACTCCAAATAACCCCAAATTTCATATATGGCAACCCTATCAAAATGCATATATAGCAAAAACTTGAAATTCCAAAAAAACATGAAATTTGAGCCCAAAACCCTAATTTCAGAAATTTCAGGCCTGAAAACCAGATGCCCCGTTAACCTCAGAGATGGGGTGGGGTCACCAGTGGGGCTCCGGCTAACGCAAAGATACAACATTTTGCCAGTAGCTACGCTTCCCTTTCTCATCGTCCCCACCCCTCATCAAGCAGCAGCAGAGGCTATGGCCAATACTCTTCCACACACCACACACAACCCACTCGCGCTTGCACTCACATCCGTGTTGGTCATAAACCCCGCTAATACCGATCGGGGGTATCCAGAGGACTATCATAGAATATTTGAAATTTCTTTTTTTTTTATTAGTCTGGAGAAAAACTATGTTCTAAGTTGTGGAAGAGAGGACTATCATAGAATATTTGAATTTTTTTTTTTTTTATTAGTCTGGAGAAAAACTATGTTCTAAGTTGTGGAAGAGGGTCACTCAAAATTCCTTACAGACTCAAAGATTGAAAACGGAAATGAAAAATCAAACTAAGGCACCCTACTTTAGGTCTCATTTATACCCCTCTTGAATGGACAGCACCGAAAAACGAAAAAGACCTCGGATTTTGGGCTGCTTTGGGTAGGCAGAGAAAAGCCCCAGCCCTACTGACGGAAAACAAAAACAAAAACCCTGGAGTTTGCACATGCCCAGGGTACACCAAGTGGGTGTACAGCTGAATGACCTGCACTGGTGCCCCCGCCCATGCCGCCCTGGTAGCCTAGGCAAAAACTTGATAAATGTTTTGAGCCTTTTGACCTGTCAAGAGTTTGATACTGCTATCAGGACGAAGATGAGTACTGGCAACCATAAAACTTCTTCTACAGGAGTTTTCCCTGGAAATGGTGAGAAGTGAAAGGCATTCCATGATGAAGACCCCTAATTTCAGGCCAAGGGAGGCCAAGTCGGCATAGTAGGTCACACTCGGGTACCTTAGGAGTGAAGTCCAACAGGCGCGCGGTGAACAGTCACATCCCAGAGGCAAAGGTTTCTATAAGCAAAAGTCACGTCTCATATTGAAAAGTGCAAGGACAATGAGCAATATCGAGATGACAGTATCCAGAATGCACAATCACATTGAAGGCCAGATAGTATCACAATGTCCAGAAAGCAGAATTGCACCAATATAACACCAAATCGTAACACTGAAAACCAATGTCAATGAGAGCTTGCTCTCGCCACCACCAACATGAGTGTCCAGGCCCTTTCTCCCTACTTGGCGCTCGGCGCCCAGCCTACTTCCTACACAGCTACTATCTGCCTACTAATTGACGATGCAACTGTTGACGTCAGCAGCCTACGAAGTACTTGAAGATGTCGGCCATGCAGACCATTGCCAATACCAGGTATGTGCCCTCACATCATCGTCATCATCATCCTTCCCTCTCTCCCCTGACTTACACCCACGTCTTCCCTTTGTACACCCGAAGACCACCCCCTGCGCCTCACTATAGACCAAGTCCCAGCCAGCTATGAAGGCTGGGCTATGGCGCTGCCCTCAGCAGCGCCCTGACTCACACACGACCGCACGTGCTAGCCACTTGCCTCTCAGCGCCAGCAGCAGCCCACGAGCCTGCAATAATTTGAGGTGCTGTTCGCATGAGTTCTTCTCTGGTGAACCACCGATCTTGCCTGGGATCCAGATGATGTCTGAATCTGACACGGTATTGCATTCTCGGCTTAGGAGGGCGGCCTCTGTCCTCTGTCCGCGGTTTAGGCACTGGCATCATTTGATGCTCCACAATTCCATCGATGTCCACTTCACCGTCCATGGTTGGGGGCAGCATTGACCGTCTGGAAGGAAACTGTGCAGTTTCTGCGAAAGGTGCCATCTTTGAAGCGTGAAACACTGGGTGTGTGCGTAAGTGAGGTGGGATGTGAATCACATAAGAAGGTCCATCTATCTGATCCCCGACTATGTCTAGGACCTCCCAAGGACCGAAGTACTGTGGCATCAGTTTGCGGGATATGCCCGGCTCCTGACCCAGTTCAGATGATTTGACCCAGACTCTATCACCTACCTGAAAGTTAGAGGGCTGTCTATGCTTATTCTCAGATGCGATCATAGCATCCTGAGATTTTCTAATATGTTTGATGGCCTGCTGCAGCATTTGCTCGTACTTGACAGCAAACTCTCTGCTGCCAGGTGCTGTAGTGGGCTGTCTCTCGGGTAGCAGAAAATCAAGTGCAGTTCTGGGCTTCCAACCAAGATGCAATTGGTTGGGAGTCATACCAGTAGTACTGTGCACAGCATTGTTGTACAGGCTGACGACGAGAGGTAACTTCTCGTCATCCTGACTTGGCTGAATATAATGTCGAAGCAGGTGCTGTACTACTCGGTCCATATGTTCCGCCTGGCCATTTTTCTCAGGGTGGTTCCCTGATGTCATTTGTAGCTTGGTGTTCATCTGCTCAGTTGTTGACTGCCACAGTTCGCTGGTAAATCTTACATCACTATCACTCACTATAGACGTAGGGAGTCCAAGATCGCGGACCCAGTTATCCAAAAACAGTTTGATGACATAGTCAATTTTAGCAATCTCCGATATAGCGATAAGTCTTGCATACTTAGAAAAGTGATCCACTAAAAGTCTATAACGAAAATGT